TTTTTTTTTTTTTCCTTCCTCTTTGATTATTGTTTAAAATGGATTTGATCTTTTGCTGATGACAAGTTTTTTGTTTTTTGTTTTTTTTTTTTTTTCCTAGCATGCGATGGTTACTAAACTGTGAGCAAAAGGTGCTGCTGGGGCCGGGAGTCACTGGGAATGAAAAATGATAATATTAATAATACAGACTTGCCAGTCCAGCAACAACTGATATACATTTAGTAGCTATATATCTATATATGCAACTGGTTTTGTTGTGGCACAGAAAAGCGATGTGAAATATGATGCTTATTTTTTAAAGATAAGAGAGAAGGCATGTTTCTAACTCTTTTTGCAGAGGATTTTCTCTGGTGTTGTTTTATTTTTATTTTTGGGTGCTTTTTAAGGGTTTTTTTTTCATAAAGAGATGGGAATTGAAAATGCATTTTACAGCAGTGGTTACACAGAGTTTGTAATCTTGCAATACTGGTGGAAGCCACAGAGCAAGATGTTAATTTTGTTATTTTTGTTATTGTTTCTTTTTTTTTTTCCTTTTTGACACTAAGTGCAATCAGCAGGGTGTTTTTTTTTTTCTTCTTTTTCAGTTTTTGATGCCTGTTTATAACGTGAAACTTTTCTTGCAGCGTGTTACAGTTATCATTTTTAAATACTTTTTTTCCTCCTTAAAGATGATAACAAAGCAAAACAGAAAGCCAAAGAGGTGATCCTTACTTTTGCACATTTTGCACCTTGACTTTTTTATTCTTTTGCCGGCAGTGTTTTGTGGTGGTTATTATTATCATGATGATGATGATGATGATAGATATATACATATATACAAATAAATACATTTTCAAATGATGGCAGTGGAAGGTTTTCCCGGAGAATGAAGTGCGATTTGGTTTCCTTGTCAACGGAAGATGAAGTGAACAACTGAACATCTCCCCAGTGCAGGTACTTCATCTCCTTGTAGGCGTTTCCACGCTGTGTAAATTACATTGTGAGATTTATTTTTTTGTTTTAATTTCTTTTTTTTTATTATTATTATTATTATTATTATGATTTATTTCGATTTAAAAGAAGTCTCTTTCCAGCCTTAAACCTGAAGGTTTCTGTGCAATACACGTGAGGACTGAACTAAATCTCTCTGCCTCGTGATTGCTTGGATGTGTGCAAAATGTTGCACTAATTGAGCCTGGGTCGGTGAAGCTGAAGTGAGGTGTTTTACGTGCTGTGCTGTGGAGAGGGGAAAAGCAGCTGGGGAATAAAAAAAACCCCAAACAAATAGATACTTCCCCCTCTGTCCCCCTCCCTCCCCAACCCCTCTGTTTTGCAATAAACCCCAGATGGAAACTGGATGAAACCTGGAGATCCTCGATAGGAGTGTATAAATACTTCCAGGAGTTTAGACAAAGAAAAAAAAAAAAAAAAAAAAAAAAAAATCCCTCCCCAACCCCTCTGTTTTGCAATAAACCCCAGATGGAAACTGGATGAAACCTGGAGATCCTCGATAGGAGTGTATAAATACTTCCAGGAGTTTAGAAAAAAAAAAAAAAAAAAAAAAAACAGAAAAAACTAGCCCTGTGTTGTGGCGACTCGTGTGTTTGTGTGTGTGTCTGTTTAAAAATTATCCATTAGAAAATCTCTGGGAGAGAAATGGCAAAGGAGGGCTCCCTGGGCGACCTGGCTGGCTGCCACCCGAGACATCTTTGGGAGCCCTAAGGGCAGCAAAACCCTCAGATCCAACTTCTGCTCCTCGGATTAAAAAGGCGTAAACGAGGCAGCAGGTTGCCTCCCGTGCGTTTTAATCCGTCGGGATGGGATGGAGGTTAATCAGAAGCAGGTATTTGCTCGTAGGTGTGTGTTTTGTTTTGATGGTTATTGATGCCACTGGCTGACGGGGAATGGGAAGCTGTTACTTCCCGTGACGGTCACCCAGAGTTCAGGATTGGAGAAGAAACTGTTAAATTTTCATTGAGGGCACTTAAATCCTTAACAGAGGCTGCCCCTGAGAGAGAGAGAGAGAGACAGGATATTGGTTCTCTAAAATCCCATTTGGAAAGATTTTTCTAGAGGACAGGTTTTTGGGTTGGTGGGGTTGTTTGGGTTTGGGTTTGTGTTTGTGTTTGGTTTGGGTCCCCCCCACCCCCCAAAAGAGAAAATAGTGCAATATTATGTTAAAGTTGAAGTGCTGAATACTTGGATCTGCAGTGTTCTCTGTAGTTTACTTTAATATGATGAGAATCCTTAACGTATTCTATATAAACAGCTTTTAGGGATCTATAACTGACCATAAAGATATGTTCTGTATTCAGATGTCGAAACTAAAGTAAGTTACAGGGGAGATATATATATATATATATATATTTAATCACTATGGTGTAAGCAAAAATAATTCGTCGGACTACAAATGCATTTGGAAGTTTGAGGCTTCTAACACTTATATTTACATTCGGGTAACTTAACAGCTTCCTTAAAAGTAGAAAGTGTGTATAAGAAGTCTTCAGCATTCTCTCATGCAATTAGTCATGTTCATGTTGAAAAATAAATAAATTGATTTGTCTTCGTAGGAACACATTTATTATGTATTTATGGTGGCTTTTTGCAGCTGAAATGTAATAAAAATATTTAGCACATATTTATGCATGGCTTCTGCTCTGACATGATGAAATACTTTTGGCAGTGTATCAGGGTCAATAATCCATGTGTCTAAAAAAAACCACTGACTACATATTTGCATGATAGATTATGATGACTTATCTGAAATAGTTATGATGTGTTGGGTCAGTACTCCACATTTTGAGTAGACTCAGACTGCTTATTTTTTGCATGATTTAATTTGAAAGACAGACATTGCAGTACAATGTCCTCCACCCCTCTTTTTATTTCCATAATTGTTATTATTTTTAATTTTTCAATTAAAGTTTTTCTTTAAATGACGCAGAACTTCCAGTAAGCAAAAGATTTTTGATATTGCTGGGGCACTGAAATAAAGTATCTAGGCCAGCAGTTTCCAGAATGCTGTTCCTTTTGTCCTTTCTTTTAATATTGCAGGTGTATTGTGTGAGGAATTTTGTACAGATAGTTGCTGACTAAAGATCTAATCCTGCTCACCTAGTCTTATCTTGAAGTCTGAGAAAGAAAGTTTTAGGAAAGCACTGTTTTCAGCACAAATACTTCATTTACAAAGCACCTGTTGTCCAAGTAGCGTGGTGATTAATATACATACAACAATCCAAGGTTTTATGATTTCACATGTATCAAACAGCTAAAGGGCTTTAAAATAGAACTAAGGGAGCTAATTTTGAAAGGGGGTACTTCTCCCTCCAGCAGTATGTGGGCACAGTGGGATTTGGGTTGGTGGGATTGGTTCCAGCTTGGTGTTTCCATAGTTGTGCTCTGACTAATGCTGTTGAAAGCATATTTGGGAAGCCAAAGTTAGTGTAAAAGGGAATTGTCCTTTTGTACTTTTGAGATGAACCCAAATTTTGCCTAAGAATTGCAGCGTTCTTTCTTCTGTTGATGATATAGTTGCATTTCTTATATTTAGGGTGAGGTGTACGTGTACTGCCCTGACTCCTGAAAGTGATGGGTGTCCAGACGTAAATGGCACCTTTTGTTTTTCTTTACGTCTTTTTTGGTCATCGGGAGAGCTTAGGGATTTAAGGGACCTTTCTAAAGGTTTGTAAACTGAAAACATCAGAAAGAATTTTTTTTTTCTTTTCTTCTTCCGTAACGATTATTAGCAGTACTTAGTAGCAAATAAAAATGTGACAGGTGAACAAAAGTTCCCAGCTGGATGGTCCCCAGAGCGCTGACTCATAAATACATGCTTTTAGCTGCTGTAGTGGCCTGAACTGGCACCAGAAGCCTATCTTCTCACATTTTTCTAGATGGGAGATAGGACTAGAGAGACCTGTGGGGTCATCAGCTCGGTTGTGCTGTGATACTAGGCTGGCCTTCTTATTTTTTTTTTTTTTTCTCAGATTCAAGCAATATCCAGTTTAAATTTAGCTGGTCCATCCCTCCCGCTGCAACTCTCTGAAGGCTGGGCAGAACCTCACTCTTTAGGCTGTTAGAATCCTCCTTCCTGTCCTAAATTTGTTCTCGGACAGTTGACACTCTATTTTTGTTTCATCTCCACATCTCTGCTCCTCTTTGGACTATATTTCTACAGAGCAGTCACAGCCCCTTTTTACTCATGTTTACTGGGCTTACTGGGAGAGGTTGTGGCCAGCACTGGGAAAGGATGATGAGGCTGGCTCTCACCAAAATCATGCTGCAGCAGAAGCAGGACAGCTGCATTCAAATCCTCTTCTGCCCAAGTTGGTCTGTTTTGCTTTCAGCTGGCTGTCCAGTTCCTGGCTCTCACATCAGCCCAAGGTGTTTCCACCTGGAGCTGAGCTGTGGACGTGCCTTCTTCTAGTGGAACAGGCTTCAACCTGTGGGGACCTTCCTTTCTGTGGTGCTGTGTGGGTGGGTGATGGTTTTTGGTTTGGTGGTTGTTGTTGTGTGTTTAGGTGGTGGGTGGTGGTTTGTGTTTTTTGTGGGTTTTTTTGTTGCTTGGACTCGATGATCTCTGAGGTCCCTTCCAACCACTCCGATTCTGTGATTCTGTGATTCTGTGATTCTTTCTGCCTAACCTGAAATCTGAATTTCTTTGCCTAGCACGTAACGGCAAAGGAACTCTCGGAAATTTTTCCTGCAACACTGATTTTTTTTTTTAGACTCCCAAGAATCTTCTACTTAGTGGTTTGGTATTTTGTATTCATACCAGCCAGGGGAACCTGAATGGGCTCGAGCCAATGTTGTACCAGAGACTGTCTTCTATCAAGAATAAACGTGAAAGCTGGCTACAATGCTTTTTAAAATATCTTTCCTCATTAGTTTCTTCCCAGGTTGCTTATTTCTTAGCTCTCTTGTCTTCCAAAGCATTATTCTAAAAGCAGTTTGTCTTTTACAGTGTAATTTTTTTCCTATTTCCTTCATTCCTTTCAGTTGTGGGTCTCGAAAGATAAAAAGATAAAAAAGCTTAATAGTGTTTGAAATGTAGGATTGGAAAGACTGATAGGTCTGCCCTCAGATGACTGTTTTTAACTTCCCTTGGTCTTCTCAGAGGATGCTGTGCTCTGTCAGATTCTGGAACTGAATCCTTTATGTTTTAAGTACTTACAGAATTTCTTAACAGAAGGCTAAAGATGACTATTTCCTGATGAAACATGATGTAATCTGTAACACGGTCTACATAGTCATCCAGTGTGTAGCTTCCTTAAACCCAGATCCAGACTGACAGAAGAAAACAAAATCCTGCTTTTAAATGCTATGAAGATTATGATGTAACTTTTTCACCTTTGTTAAAGTACCAATATTATTTTATGATCTTTGAACAATTACTGGAATAAAATGGCTTGAAGATTATTGTTTTGCATATACAAACATTAGAATAATTTGTACCATTTTTTTTTCTCATCTTTACTCGTTCCTATTTCAAAATGACACTCTAATCTCTATGATGTACTTAATCCTTCAAAAGCATTTATACTGCACTTTTTGGAAATATTTTCTGAGAAGGTTTAGTTTTGCACAATGAAGTGTGATTTTCCATCTCAGTGAATCATCTGCTAACAATTAAAACAAACAATCAAGCAGACCTGCAAATTATTAAGTAACTCTCGGATTGCTTAGAGCAAATGCAATTAATTTTTTGCTATGATTGGAGTGTTCTGGGATAAAAAGATCAACAGGTAGATGAATAGAGAGAATCATATAGATATTTTTAGACATGTTTTTAATGTGGTAGAGAATTAAGAGAAATCTTACATTAATTAATTCTCCTTTAGGGCTTAACCAACACTTTGGTTTAAGAATGAACAGTTTAACTTTCTCCACACACTGATATTATCTACCGCCACCTGACAAAAGCTAGGGGCTCAAATTGTCTCCCTGGTGCTCTG